GGTCACTCAAACCAATATTATTCAAACTCAAAGATGTTTAACCATAAATATTCTAAGATCTTAGATTGATTGAAAAAAGGGTACACTCTTATTAATAGGCTTTTTCTTTTTATATTTGAACCCTTATAAATCACTTTTCAAATCATTCTCTTTAGTTACTTACAATAGTGAGGTTGAATAAATATAGTAATAAAGTATAATCTAACATAAATTGTAAAGTGAGGACAAATATGGCAAGTTTAAATGAAATTGGTGCTTTTGAATTTTTTTTCTTTCAAAAAGGGGATAAAAAGGATATGGATAACAAATGGAGTGAATCCAACCTTTTATATATGGTGTTAGATAAGGATAAAAGTTATAAATCTTAACTCTCAAAAGTTGATTGTAGAGAAGACACAAAAATAACTTTGTTGATGGTCATATATATAAGTTAACAATGATTTCAAAGGCTAATAAAAGGGAAAATGTAGTGATGGAATTTATCATTTGTTACAGTGGTAATTAATGGATTACAATTGCCTTTAAAGTCCCTTATTTTAGTATGGAGTGGTTTATTTGAGTGTTTAGCAGTTGTATTTGAGGTTTCAATTAGGATTTTGTTATTAGCTGATGTTCATGTTATAATTGTAAATTTTATTTCTATCATGGTTGTCAACAATTATGTTGTATATATTGATGGTCCTATGAGAGTTTTATATTCTTGCGATAGTGCCCAATTGAAGCTCTAGATGTTTTGTTAGACTTAACTTCTTCAAATTTTCTATATATGTATATATGTATGTGTGTGTATATATATATATATATATATATAACACCATAAATAGTGGACCATCTATTTGAGATTGAATTTATTCTGTGGTTTAGATCCCAATTAATATACCTTCCCAAACACTCACAATATTATATATATATTCATAAATGACCAGTAAATTATACATTTTTAAAGAGACTATTCTCTTGTTTTCAGGGTTTAGAGGCTGCTAAACCCTTGGCTTGAATTTGCAAGTGATTACTAATTCTCACTAAAAACTTTATTAATGCAAAAAAGTGGTTGTCTATCATCAATCTATTAGCACAATCTGGTCAATTCAACATGACTAGCAAAATAGACAATCCATATCAAGCCTGTTAGCCTAATTTAATTGCTTGGTAAAGCAAATCACGTTTTGGACATTTTATAATTAACAATAATAACATTAATAAAACACATGATATACTATTTATAAGAAGTTTAAGTATGAATTTTATTAAATTAAGCTGAATAGTCTGTTATCCTTGTTCTTAGCGCTGCTACTAGGAACATCAGTGAGCGTGTTTTGCAATTCATCTGTGATGTCCAAAGTGTGTCAAAATCATGCAAAGCCGAAGATGATTTATACCCAATCAACTCAGGCATTCTAGGACAATGTCCAAGCTTGCTACAAGTAGCAGGACCGGGAAGCTGCCATACAAGCACTGCAATATAGGGTTCAAGGATCCATAGAAGTCAGGAAACTGGAGAAATTGAATGGTAAAAACCTTTGCCCTTTTAAATTATGCACATCAAGTGTAGTATCGACCACCAAAGATTGCAAATATATTCTATCATAGTGTCCAGCAGTAATTTTTCTCTGCATCTCAACTCAGGCAGAACCAGCATTCTAGAGGAAATAGTTGATCAAAAGCAAAGAAATAGCACTTGGTAAATTGCTACATCTTCCTTTTCTTTCCTGTACTCCACGATAAACAGGCAGAACTGGGCCTTGAGGGTCTCTTTATGTTGCTTATTGAGGTTGGGATCTACTAGTACGTTTCGGTTATGTGTTCGGAACTTAACATCAAGTTCATTTGCTTCATCCTCGTAATCACTTTGAGAAACAGTTCAAAACTACAATCAAAATATGTTATTTAATGCACAACCGAGCTCCTGACCTCCTTGCTAGGCTCCTCATCCTGGGCCTACATAATCAATGTGAAAACAATCACTAGTATAGAAACAATGAAAATGAAGCAAAGTTGCTTATCAGAACATATTTCTCGTTGTATTAGTGGCCAAATCATTCTCTTGAAGGCGCTTCACAGCTTGCAGCATCTCTTTTGCTTCGAAACGCCCTGGACAGGTGAGTGTAATCCTGCTGTGATGGTGCAGAGATGCATTGGAACATGTCAACAAGCACGAGGTGATACGGTCTTATATGCGTAGATCCTGAGGCTTCTTACAATTGCACAGTGTTGTACAAAAGATCAGCAGCGTTTCTTTTTTCATGAGACCTCCATAAAATTTGTTCTCTGAGCCCAAGCAATTCTCAATGGATCCCTCCGTTTTGATAGGGCTAGATCTTTTAATTTCTGGTTTCATTCGTAGAGAACCTAGATGATCCAGTACGCTCTCTTTGACTTGATGTCTCTTTCTCTACAGTGAAGTTTTCGTCTTTCGTGATTGCAAGTTTAAAGTTCCCATTCTTTCTAAAGTGCCTAATCTTCGTTTAGGAAAGCCTTTGTCAAGAAACTAGGCTGGGGAACGCGATCAAAATCGCCACAAAGTTTCCTTTGGACTAAGTTGGATTTGCTGGCTTACAAACAGATCACTACGAGCTCATCATGTTTCTAAGAAATCACTCTAGAAATTCTACGGGTTTCCAATCGAGGCAAGATTGCAATTCATTTTCAAATGTCGTGTCTAGAAAGTTACCGCTAGAAATCACTTCTTTGGTTTTAACACCTCTAGATGAGATTTACAGTTTGGAAATCCTTTTGCTTGTGAGACCAAGCAGCTCCATCACCTCTCTCAGAATCGTCGAGTTTTCTTCTTCATCGCCCACCTCATGGTTTGCCTTCCACAAAGGGCGAAGAAAGCTCCTCCTCCTCTCGCATGAACTCCTCATCCACGGAACTCGTCTTTCCAAGAAACGCGCTCCCAGCCTTCCTCATCATCATTAGCTACTCGCGACTCCACTTCGCCAAAGAGCTTGTAGAGCAGCTCTTCCTCTTGCAAATACCAGGCTCTCTCTTTGCACGATTCCATGTGAAGTCCGTCTTATTCATCCACAGGTGATCACCAAGCATCTCTACACCACACCCAAGCGCCATAGATCTTCTCTCGAAAGTCTAGTTAGCCCTTAAACTAGTCTCGTTATATACTGCTAAGGCACCTTGATAATATTCTTTCTACCTTCTCCTTTACAAATATACTTGTGTTTAGTATAAGGTTTTTTTAGCGATGCCAAGAAACTGACCTTATATCTAAAATCAATCAAAGAGGTACTACTGGCAATTCTTTGATCAACTTCGCTGGCCTTTTGGCTTGGACCTTTAATGAACCTTACAAACTTATATACCTGGATGTCTGGAAAGGTGCTCAGCAGACTTCTGTCCAGCAGCGAGTCACACTGTGAGAAGTTCCTGGCTCCAGTACCAAGGGCTGGATCTCCATAGCCCGGTAGCAATTGGAGCTGAGACTATGTCACTAAGTTGTCCCTCAGCTTCTAAGTAACAGAAGTTATCAATGTATACCTTTCCTTGAATCAATATTAATAGTTTTAACAATTTAGAAATTTAAAGCATCCCTCTAAAATGACTTTTTTTTTTATAATTAGAATATACTGCATGTCAAAATATGTTTAATGTATACAAATGACAAATTATAATACCCAAACATGATAAATTATATGAAAAACATCTATATTTCCAGAAGGGTCTTTCCCTTACTATATACATAACACTTCAAGGTGGAAGAAGGTTTATAGGAAACATATTACTTGGTTTATAGAATATATTTAAAGATTTGCTAAATATTTATTGATGTGAGTCTATTGAATATGGAAATGGAATATAAAAATGTGCATATCAATTAGCCCAAAAACGTTAGCTTATATATATTGGAGTGAGTGGTTTGAATTGAAACCAATTTGACAATTATTAAAATTTAAGTACACTGTATGGCCATTAATATTAATATACAGCATTGTAACCATTCACTTAGACCATATCATCCCCTCCTCTTGAAAGGATGGAAGGTAATCAGGGTTCACTAGTTAACATATTGGGATTTGGAGGAACATTATAAGGAAGTATCAGTGGATCTATAGATGGTATTAATTGGTCTTAATTTCTTTGTATGAAGCCTTTTAGTTGTTGTACATGCATAATTTTTGGAGGATCAATTTGTTGAATGTCATTCTAAATCTTATAAACTTGTGATCCAATTTGCCACAACACCTGATATGGTCCCTTCCACTAAGCAAAAAACCCCTTAGATAAACCATATACCGTAAGATTGGGAAAACATGCTAATATAAAAACATCCACTTTGTACTTTGTAAGTGGACAATAATAGGAGTTGTAGGATTGTTATTGTCCTATTTGTATGTAGCCAAAGTGTTCAATAGACTTTGCTTAGACAAGTGGAAGAATGCTTATCAAATATTAATCCTAAGACCTAACATCAGTAACTTGTGGTAATTGCAAAGGTAAACTTAACTCCGCTGGCAATATCGAATCATGATCATATAAAAGTTTATATGGTGAAGCACCGACATAACTTTGCACCCTATGACATACGCATATTGAAAAGAAGGCAAATAACCATCCCAATTCAAATGTTAAAAATTCATGTACTTCGCGATTATCCCTTTGAAGGTCGGAATAAGCTATTTCACTAAACCATCTATCGTTGGATGATAAGCATTTGTGGAAGTGTGGTGTATCTCCAACTGAGATGTTAAAAAGTAAAATGCCTCAACTATGAATATATGACTATTATCTGAAAGAATTCGTTCTGGACAGGAATGTTAAAACATCACTTGATTGAAAAAGAAATATCTAATAACAGTTGCAAATGCACTAATAAGAGCACTAACTTCCACTCATTGAATTAGATAGTCAAAAGCAATAATAATATGCTTATTGCTAGCAATCAACTGTGGAAAATGCCTCATAAGATAAAATGCCACCAACTTAAACAAATAGGAAATTACAATTGACCCTAACTGTTCTTCAATAACATGAGGGGGAGTATTATGAATTTGGCACTAAATGCAATTATGTATATACCAGATAACATCATGTTGTATCTTTAGCCAAAGACTTGTGCAACTTCTCTATTATATGACAATTTCCCATATACCTACTTACAATAGGAGAATCATGGTAAGTATAGAGAAAGCATGGAATAAATATCAAAAGCAACACCAGCTCTAAATAATCATTAGGATCCCTCCCCACAAAATAAAGAAGGTCGTCCTTAAGGCGATATTAAGAATGTAAATGTCGAAATCACAAGTCATCATCAAGTGATATATAATTCTCAAACTCATTACGAAGCCTTTAGATCCATGGGTTAACCTTTTAAGCCTCACGAACCTTGTCAAAAGAAGGTAAATTTTGCTCCACACCTTGTGGACATTAAACATTAAATACAACAACTGTTGACAGTATAGAATCATTATCCAAAAAATCCATAAATGCTAAAATAATAGATTTGTCATAAACATGAGAAAAAAGTGAAGAAGGAAGAGGAAATTGAGAAAGAGCATTAGCATTAGCCATAGAAGTCCTCGAGTGATGAACAAGATCAAAATTATATATTTAAAGTTTGAAAGCCCATTGAGTAGTTCCATTTTAATAATGAAGTAATTGCAATATGATCATATTTTAGTAATGTCTGATAACCATGTAGATATGCATGAAGTTTCTTGAAACCCTAAGTTATTGCTAAATACTCCTCTATCATGGAGTAGTTTACCTTTACTAATTGTAATGTCGGCTAATATATGTAATAGGATGGCACTAATTAGGAACACTCAGGCTCTCTTGCATCAACATACTTCCAAGAGGATATCAAAAGCATCCATGTGCAAAATAAAAGGTCAAATGTAATTAGGATATGCAAAAACTAGAGGAGTCGTCAACAACTCTTTAAGATTCATAAATATTTGTTCACAATTCATGGGCCAAATGAAAGATGATGTTATCAACTTTAACAATGTTTGTAATAGTGCAGTATAATCAAAAAGATGATCAACAAAATAGTTGAGATATTGCACCTTACCTAAAAACATTACATATCATTTACATATTTTGGAGTAGGGAGCTAAAAAATAGCTATAAGTTTGTCATGATCAACTTACAAACCTTTATGAAAATTATAGTACCCAATATAAGTTGTGTCCTTAGACCTAAACACACATTTTGATCGCTTCAGCTTTAAACCAACTTCCCATAATAAATCCTAACACCTTATAAACATCATAGCCGTGTTCCTTTCACGTCCCCTTTAAGTGGATTAAAATATCATGTATAAAATCAACAATCACTTTTAGCATATCCCAAAGAACCTCATCCATCATCTACTAGAAAGTTGCTAAATTATTGTTCAACCCAAATGGCATCACTAAAACCTTTTACAAACCAAATGGCATATGAAAAGTAATTTTGAGAATATTTTCCTTGGCCATTAGCATTTGGTAGTACTTAGAAACAAAATCTAATTTGGTAAACTAACGACTTCTCCCTAAACAATCCAGGAGATCAATAGTGTGAAGAAGAGGGTATATATTTGAAATTGTCATTTTGTTTAACAGATGATAATTGATGCAAAAATGAATTATAAAAAAGTATAAGATAAGGGGGAAAAATTTCAAAGTTGACATAATTATGCCGCAACTAATCCATACTAAGGATAAGGTCAAAAACTTAAATTGACACCACCCATAATAATTATAACTCAATCTCGAGATCACCCACACACATAATTAAGTTTGCCTCGTCCCATACATATATATGTGTATGGCTATTGCTATAAAAAAATGAAAACTAACTCTGCCATATGATGCAAATGTAGATGGCAATATGTGCCAACAAAAAAAGCATTAGAAGATAAACTCAAAACTGTATTAATTAACACATGATAAATTGCTCCATCTTCCTTTTCTTTCCTGCACTCCACAATAAACAGGCAGAACTGGACCTTGAGGCTCTTTTTATGTCACTTATTGAGCTTGGGATCTACTAGTACGTTTCCATTATGTGTTCGGAACTTAACGTCAAGTTCATCCACTTCATCCAGGCTCCTCATCCCGGGCCTACAAAATCAATGTGAAAACAATCACTAGGATAGAATAGAAACAATGAAAATGAAGCAAAGTTGCTTACCAAAACATCTTTCTCGTTGTTTTAGTGGCCAAATCATTCTCTTGAAGTCACAGCTTGCAGCATCTCTTTTGCTTCGAAACGCCCTGGACAGGTGACTGTAATCCTGCTGTGACGGTGGAGAGATGCATTGGAACATGTCAACAAGCACGAGGTGATACGGTCTTATATGCGTAGATCCCGAGGAGCAAAGAGGAGCAAAGGGGCTTCTTACGATTGCACAGCACTAACCTTGTTGTACAAAAGATCAGCAGCGTTTCTTTTTCGTGTGACCTCCATAAAATTTGTTCTCTGCGCCCAAGCAATTCTCGATACACCATATGCTGACAAAAGGCTCCACTGCATTGAACGTCCCGATATGCCATAGGCTCAGACCTTGGCGACTTTGCTATAACCCCGATTGCGGCTGCGCTACGTTCTCTTTGACTTGATGTCTCTTTCTATACAGTGGAGTTTTCATTGGAATTCCTTTCGTTTAAAGTTCCCATTCTTCCTAATGTGCCTAATCTTCGTTTAGGAAAGCCTTTGTCGGCTGGGGAACGCGATGAAAATCGCGTTGATAGTCTAGGACTAAGTTGGATTTGCTGGCTTACAAACAGATCACTACGAGCGCATCATGTTTCTAAGAAATCACTCTAGAAATTCTACGGGTTTCTAACCGCAAGATTGCAATCCATTTGACTTTCAAATGTCGTGTCTTACTGCTAGAAAGCACTTCTTTGGTTTTTAACATCTATAGATGAGATTTACAGTTTGGAAATCCTTTTGCTTGTGAGACCAAGCAGCTCCATCACCTCTCTCAGAATCGTCGAGTTTTCTTCATCATCGCCCACCTCATGGTTTGCCTTCCAGGCCACTTCCTCAAAGAGCAAAGAAAGCTCCTCCTCCTCTCGCATGAAATCCTCATCCACGGAACTCGTCTTTCCACTCCCAGAAACGCGCTCCCAACCTTCCTCATCATCATTAGCTACTCGCGACTCCACTTCGCCAAAGAGCTTGTAGAGCAGCTCTTCCTCTTGCAAATACCAGGCTCTCTCTTTGCACGATTCGTTTGCTGCCCATGTGAAGTCCATCTTATTCATCCACAGGTGATCACCAAGCATCTCTACACCACACCCAAGCGCCATAGATCTTCTCTCGAAAGTCTAGTTAGCCCTTAAACTAGCCTCATTATATACTGCTAAGGCACCTTTTCCTAGATGATAATATTCTTTCCACCTTTTCCTTTACAAATACGTTTAGTATTTTTTCTTTCTAGTGCCGTCATCAGTACCAAGGGCATGTCTTATGAGTTTTATTAAATTAGGCTGAATAATCTGTTATCCTTGATTGCTTTTGTCTCTTGTTCTTAGAGGTGCTACTAGTCGGAACATCGGTGAGCGTGTCTTGCAATTCATCTACTTGTTCCCGCGAGACATTCCCATGCGACGATTTGCTTAGAGCATACGCCGCTCCCATTCTCTCCCGACAGATTTTACTGGCAGCAGCATGATCGAGCACTGGATGCAACAAGGCAAGGAGCTTAGCCAAAAGTTTAAGAATGATTTACCAGGTGTTGGATAGTCTTTCCCGATGATGCACTTTGCTTTCCTCTGAATCTCAGCTGGAGCTTTCCATGGCTCGTAGATAAACTCCTGCGGCATATCTAAACGTCGTCCTTTGGTTTAGTGTTTTGACAGGAGATTATTTCGACTTGCCTTTTAGAACGGGGAGAAAATGCTTGATATAGTTCCCTTGACGATCGTATTTCTTTGCAAACGTGATTGGGGAGTAAATTCGATGGTACTGGAATTGAGCACAGTAAGAGGAGGAAGCAAGAATTGAAAGGTTTTAATACCTGATTGAAAAACGCAGAAGCTGAGAGCCAAAGCCAGTTACCATTGTTGATAGACCAATCGGCGTCAATCAAAAGCCTATCGAAGACATCTCGGCCTTTCTCCCAGTATACAAACTGTCCAAATTTGAAGGAATGTTGTAATGACCAGTAAGGTAAAAGAGAAAACACTTACCATATCACCCCTTGTTAAGAAACAAGCGACTGCATGACGAGCTAGATGGTGCATCCATCCCCATTTTCGTAACTAAAATCAGCAGAAAAGAAAGGAAAAAACAAAAGTGTTTAGTAAAGAAGAAGATGGAGTAGAAAGAGACCTGTGTCATGGCAGCGTCTATCCAGGGATAACCAGTACGTCCATCTCTCCAAGCACTCAAAAGTTCATCGTCGTCCTTCCAAGGGATCTAGACCAAAGTTATGGATTGATCGAACCAAAGCTTAGAGCAATTAAAAAAAGAGAAGATGAAGGATTTTACTTGCTTGCAAATGGGGTTCCCAACCATCTTGTCAAAATTCGCAGTAGCATATGCAGCAGTATAGAAGAACTCCCGCCACAAGAGCTGAGCGAAAGAGGCTCACGGAATCTACTTGATAATAATGCACTAAACTTTGCTTACCTGAGCTTCCAAAGAAACTGGAGGACTCGTAAACGACTTCGCCCTGGAATAGACCTCCTTAACGCGAGAGTAGACAAGCCGGGAGGAAAGACAGCCAAACTACGCAAAAAACTGTGTGGAGTGAGAAAGAGAGATATTTGAACCGGTGCCTATATTTCGTGAACCTTCAAGTATGGAGAAAGAACCGTGGTCGCAGGCTTTATAAACGCAGTTGGATCTCCTTTGGGCTTCTCGAATTCGCATACCCACTTCTACTTGCAAAGAAAAAGAATTTTTGAAAACATTGAAGCAAAGTTTGAGAAGTTAGTACCTCGTTCGCAAGACTATCCTCCAACCGAGTTAGTGCTACAGTTTCGCCACCACGAAACGGAGAAAAATCCTTTTAAACACACAAAGAGCGATTTAGCAAGAAGTAAATCAGGAGGAAAAAAAATTAAAATAAAATCATAAACCTCGTGAAAATCGGCATAACCGAGCTCCTCAAGTGTTGGAACTGGGACCACTTTGATCCCATGAAGATCACCAGTCGGAGGAATCGCAGATGGACCATTTCCAATTGGCTTTGTGGCTGGAACAAGGTTTTTGCAGAAGGATTGGAAGGTTAGAGGTGCCTTGCCACCATTCTGATAGAGAAAACCACAAAATATTAGTAAACAAGAAGGGAATGAAGTCGTCACCTTCGCTATCAGAAGATCTGGATTGAAAATAGTGTGGCTCACAGGACAGTGGAGCTCAATTCCTTTGTCTTTAGCATGCTCCTGTTCTTTGAAACAGTAAGAACTCTCGAGAAAAGAAAAAAAAAAAAAGCAAGATGAGATGAGCCAGGAGTTCTACCTTGATCTTAGCATCTCGATCCAATGCATAGGGTTCCGTGTCAAATTCAAAGCACAACTTCCTGATTCTCCACTGGAAAAAAATAATACGAGGCTGCTTTCAAGAACAAAAAAGAAAGAAGACTCCACCTTGTCAAGAAGCTCTGGAATTACTTGGATTGGATTGCCGTGGACGAGCAGGAGCTTACTTCCCCGGGAGCTCAAATTTCGATCCAGATCCTGCAAGCTCTCGAGCAAGAACTGGATGCGATTGATCCCAACTCGAGCAGACCCTGGCGATGACGCTCTTGGATCCGGCGCCAAGAACCAAGGATCCAAAACAAAGACTGGATACACATTTCGCGAGCCATGGCACGCGGCTTCCAGCGATGGATTGTCGTGGAGCCTCAGCCCCTTTCGAAACCACAAGAGCGCCATAGCCAAGAAGCACTCTTTGTAAACCCTAGTTCCTAGTTTTTAAAATTCTCATTTAAGCGCGAAAAATTAGGGTTCTTATGGTCGTATCGCCAGGGCAAATCTCCCAGAGGCGATTCCAGCGGCGGCTCCTCGTTCAGCTTCGATCGGTGAGTTCTAGATCGACATTGGAACAGGGATCGCGAGACGGTCGCATCGGGAGACTGCTTGCCGGATTGAAATCCTGCGCCAGGGCAAAAGATCTTCCGGGTGGAAAGAGACTCCAACGCGAGGCGATCGCCAGCGGCAGCGCCTCGAATGTCTTCGTGGCAACAGCGCTGGTGGATTGCTTCGCAAAATGTGGAAGCATGGCAGATGCTCGCCAAGTTTTCGACGCCATGGCCAGTCGCGACGTGGTGTCTTGGAACGCTCTTCTCCTTGGGTATGTCGAGAATGGCGAGAGCGAGCTCGCATTGGAATTTTTTGCCGGAATGGGAGAGAAAGGCTGCGAGGGAAATGCCAGGACGTTCCTGGCGGCATTCATGGCTTGCTCAAGTTTGGCTTCCAGAGAAGCTGGAAAATCACTAGAGGGGAAGCTCGTCAAGCTAAAGTCACTGGAGAAGGGAATGGATCTTCACTCGCAGGCGTGGAAAAGAGGAAGAGATTGCCAGGAGAATTTCTTCATGGCGACTGGACTTCTCGACATGTACTCCAGGTGTGGAAGCATGGTTGACGCTCGACAGGTTTTTGATACCATGGAAAATCACGACATTGGCTCCCTGAACGCACTGATCGTGGGATACGTCGAGAATGGCCATAGCGAGCTTGCTTTGGAGATCTACTCGTCCTTCCGACAAGGTTCTAGCTTGGTTGCGAACGCTAAAACTTTCCTCGCCGCCACCATGGCCTGTGGAAACTTAGCAGCAAGCCAGGGAGAAAAGATTCTGGAAACGGGGAGAGCTATACACTTGCACGCGGTGAAGAGCTGCTGTGACGGGGATATATTTCTGGCAAACAGCCTGGTGGACATGTACGCCAAGTGTGGAAGCATGCCAAACGCTCGAAAGGTGTTCGACAGGATCCCGGCTCCAACTTTAGTGTCGTGGACTTCGCTCATCCAGGGGTACGTAGAAAACTCCCAGAGTGCTGTCGCTCTGGAACTCTTTGGCCTCCTAATGAAGAAGTGTTGTACCGTTCCAGATGCCAGGATTTTTGTCACCGGGATTATGGCCTGTGCTAGTCTGGCGTCTCAAGAGCAGCCAACTTTGGGAGATCTCAGCGGGAAGGATGTTAAAACGAGAAGCTTGAACAGAGGGCGAGAGATCGTCTCCATGGCTGAGGAGAGTGGCTGTGGAAAGGACGTCTTTCTCTTGACTGCGGCAATCGATATGTACGCGAAGTGTGGGAGCCTAGCGGAGGCGCAGAAGTGCTTCGACAGGATGCCGAGACATGACACCGTGTCGTGGAACGCTTTGCTTCTCGGCTACGTGGAGAACGAAGAAGCAGACTTGGCACTGGAAGCTTATCAGCGGATGCGGCTAGAAAAATGCCTGCCAAACTCGAGAACACTTCTGGCCTTGACGATGGCATATACGGCTTTGGCTACGAAAGAAGCTGGGGAACTCATCTATGGCCGGGTGGTGAAGACGAAGAGCTTGGAGAAATGCACGGCTTTGCATTTGGAAGCCGAAAGGCAAGGCTTTGCGTCCGATATCATTCTCGCGGGGGCATTGGTGGATATGTATTCGAAGTGTGGGAGCCTGGCAGATGCTCGCAGAGTTTTCGACGGTATGCTACATCACAATGCAGTCGCATGGAAGTCACTGATTCTGGGATACTTGGAAGCTGGCGAAGACGAGATAGTTTTGGAGCTGTTTGGGAGGATGGGAGGATTTACAGGCTGCGTCGGCGATTCTCGGGTGTTGGTCGCTGCACTAGCGGCTTGCTCCAGTGCTGCTGTCCGGGAAGAATCCACACAGCTCGCTGATGGAAAGTCCGTAAAGCTGAGGTGCTTTGAGACTGCGTTTGCGATGCATGCTCAAGCAGTGCCTTGCGGCTGCTTCTCGGACATCTTCGTGGCGACTGCGCTGATCGACTTATACATGAACTGCGGAAGGATTCTGGAAGCTCGAGAGGTCTTCGACATGATGGTGGATCACGACGTGGTGGCCTGGAACGCTCTGATACTGGGATACTTTGAGAACGACGAGAACGAGCTGGCTTTGGAGATGTTTGAGCGCATGGAAGCTCAAGGCGACTCGCCAAACGCAGCAACCTTCGTGGCCGTGCTAAGTTCCAGAGCTGCTTTGGCGACCAGAGAAGAAGGAACGAAAACGATCGATGGGAAGCTCGTGAAAGTCAAGTCACTAGAGGCCGGGATGGAACTCCACAGCCAGGCTGCTCGAACGGGATGCGACTCCGACGTCATGGTGGTCAACGCGTTGCTGGATTTCTACGCAAGGTGTGGCAGCCCAGCCGATTCCAGGAGAGTTTTCGACTGGATGCCTTGCCACAGCGTGGTGTCCTGGACTTCTCTGGTGGCCAGCTACGCAGAGAATGGAGAGGCGGAGCTAGCCTTGAGCATCTTCTTCCTCATGGAAGCTTCAACAGGCTTTGCTCCGGTGGCTCGCTCGTTCGTCGCTGCACTGAAGGCCTGTGGAAGTTTGGTGGCTCTCGACTGCGGCAGAGCCATTCACGCAGCGATCAACAGGGATGATCCTCGCAGCAGCAGTAAAAGCAGCAGCAGTATTCTTGAGAGATCTCTGGTGGAGTTCTACGGGAAGTGTGGGAAGGCGGCCAGCTCTCACAGGATCTTTGATGCTCTCGCCAGCAGCAGCAGGGACTTGAGTCTGTGGAACTCGCTCTTGGGGAGCTATAGCCACCAGGGAGACGCGGCTCGAGTTTTGGAGCTCTTTGGCTCCATGCACGACGAAGGCTTGAGAGGCGATGGGATCACTTTCTCGTGCGTCCTCTCCGTGTGTGGCCGGACGGGGATGGTGGCCACGGGCAGGAGCTTGTTCCAAGCGATGAAATCCTCGGAGTATGGAGTGGAGCAAACTCTAGAGCACTTCCACTGCATGGTTGATCTTCTTGGACGTGCAAATCTACTGGAAGAAGCCATGGCAATGGCAAAAACGATGCCATTCGAGGCTACTACTGTGACTTGGACAATTCTTCTCAGTGCCTGCTGCAAATGGAAGAATCTGGATGTGGGAAGTATTGTGTTTGAGTTTTTGCTCAAGTTGGACTCCAGGAATGCCACACCATACATTCTAATGTCTAATTTATGTAAATAAATTGAACTTCTATTAAGGTTTTCATCTTTGTATTTGCCAACATATTTCCAAGATTATGGTGGTTCATAACCTTGGAAAGATGAAATATTATTTTGTATTTCTAAGATTATAGACTATCACAACAATCTTATCATAGTAAAATTATTATATGTGTTGCTAACCTGAGAAAGGTTTCACCTAGTATATAAGACAGTCTTAGAAACCTTCACATCTCATTCAGAGAATCTCACAAGAAAATGGGTTGTGTTTCTTATATTTTGTCTTTGATTTTAATGTTGCTCCCATTTTCTTCTCTTGCAGCTAACGCAGTATGTGCTCCAGAGATCTTTGTATTCACTGATTCACTTTCAGATACTGGAAATCTTTGCACTGCCACTCCATCTCTTTGTGTTGCTAACAATCTTCCATATCGTCAAAACTTCCCTCAAGGTCAACATTCTAGATATGGTCTCCCAGGCTTTTGGTCACTCTCTAGCTCCAGATGCAATCCTTCCGACCTATGGTACAAATTTCTCTCGAGGGATCAACTTTGGAAATGCTGGCTGCACTGCAAGTTTTCCTGCATCTTTTGTTGTTCCTCCACAGGGGAGGAATCCATTTGCGCTTGAGATCCGGATTGGCGAGTACAGGCGTGTCCAGAAGCTTGTCCAGTAGAAATATAAGTCTTCATTCGTGGATCTTTTGCCATCTCCAGAAGGTTTCTCTCGTGCTTTATATTGGGTGGCAACGACTTCAACAAATATAATCTCTTCTACTACTCCAATCAGACTGCAATTGAGCAAATTCTTGTTCCCAACATCTTAAGAGTTATCAAGGAAGGGATCCAAAAGCTTATCAAGTATGGTGCCATGAATTTCTTGATTTGGGGTTTGCCAGCGCAAGGTTGTGCTTCTATTAATCTGGCACAAGCAACATCCTTGCCATTCACTAGTGCTGGGGATTATGATCAGCTTGGTTGTTCTAAGCTCTACAACAATCCGAGCATCTATTACAACCAAAAGCTAATGGATTTGGTTGACGAGTTCCGAGCAAACTATACAGATTGATCATTCTTCGTTCCGGATTGGTACTCGGATCATTTGGGAATGGTCAATGGCACTATTGGGTCGTTTGATTCGTCAAGGTTTTGGATGCTTGCTGTGGAACTCCCGGTGCGAAGTATAGATGTGGATCTCCCCCAGATCCAACGCTTGGATGCTTTTGCCGCACTCAAACGGTGTGCGATCCAAATGATTATATAATCTGGGATGGTATCCATTTTACCGAGGAATTCTCCAGGGTTGCATCTTTGCAGCCAATTCCAAGTTTCTTAAGACTGGAGGGAATACTTTAGTAATGAGCAAGACTTGTTAATTAATATTTGATTTTGAAGTTACTCAAATCTTGACATTTAACATGAAATATATCGATTTCAATTGATTTTGATTTGATATGTTTCTATGACTTAATATTTTATTTCACATATGAAATAAAACATGCTTCCACATTTGTAGCGTTTGATATAAAATGTGCTTGATGATGCAATGTTTCGTTGGGAATTGCTAATGTTTTTTATTTTCGATTGCTATGAAATAAGATTTGATACTTCACGCTTCCAGTTTGCTAGCACGTGGTGAAATTGGAAGCTACGTGGCCGCTCACACTTCGCGTGTTGACGTGCTGGAGAAGGAAATATTGACGGTCCGCGTGGATTTGATCCAACGGCTGCGATGCGAAGCGTCGCCCTCACTTTGTTATAAGACCCGCGTTCTCGCTAGTTTTGCCCTACCTATTGTGAATTGTGCGCTTTTTTTCCCCTCTTTGTGGCGGCGCAGCGTTTTTGCTCGATTTCTTCGCGATCGTCGTTTCAGGTAAGCGCGGCGCTGCGGCATAGCAGCGGCAATCTCTCTGACTCGCGCTAGTCTTGTGTTTTGTAGAAATCTTGGCATGTTGTGATGGACGCCAAGGGAGGCGAGGACGATTCTAGCAGTAGTAGTAGTAACAGAAACTCCAAATTCCGATACGAGATCCCTCTCGGCTACGTTGTGGAGGACGTTCGGCCAAACGGGGGTTTCGAGAAGCTCCGGCGTGCCGGATTCACTGTGGTAAGCTCAATCTCTTCTGATTCCGCGAGGAAAAATTCTAACTTTTTCTTTTTTTTCTTTCCCAGTGCGTGAGGAAACCATCCTGACATTCCTTCCAGGAGCTTCTCTCAGTAAGATTTAGCTAGCGTTGGGAAGATAGATCTAGGCAGCCAGATTTTTTTTTTCTTCGTCCTTCTAGCGGTCTTGGGGAAGCATCATGGGACTGGAAGTAGCTTGGGTGGCGGGGCTCCAGCAGGAAGAAGTGGCAGCTACTGTTGGAGCAGTGGCAACTACTGGCTTCGAGGGATTCGAGAAGAGGCTGGAAATCGAATTCTCGTATGGTCCAAGCAGCGAGGCATCGGGTTTGAGGTCGGTTTCCAGGGAAGGCCTTGACAGGATGCTCAAGGCGGCCGAGTGCACGATAGTGGCCCAGCTTAGCAGCGACGAGTTTGATTCCTACGTGCTCTCGGAGTCGAGCCTCTTCGTCTATCCACTCAAGGTGGTGATCAAGACTTGCGGCACCACCAAGCTGCTGAGGAGCATCCCGGTTCTGCTGGAGCTGGCCTCGAGTTTGGATCTCTCGGTCCGGTGCTGCAAGTATCGGCGAGGGAGTTTCTTCTTCCCGGCAGAGCAGGATTATCCTCACCGCAACTTCACGGACGAGGTGGAGTTTTTGGACGGCTTCTTTAGCGGAGGAAGAGGCTACGTTCTTGGAAGTTCTTCCTCGGCACAGAAGTGGCACGTCTACGTAGCACCGGCGGTGGAAGACGAGTTTGGCAGCAGCGAGCCAAGTTTCACGCTCGAGATGTGTATGACGGAGTTGGACAGGAAGGTGGCGACCGAGTTCTACAAGGACGTGAATTGCTCGGCCGAGGGAATGACTCGAGCTGCCGGGATTGATGGTCTTCTCCCCGGTGCCAGGATTTGCGACTTCGCCTTCGATCCGTGCGGCTACTCCATGAACAGCGTCGAGGGTGGCGCTTACTCGACGATTCACGTCACTCCGGAGGATGGTTTCAGCTACGCGAGCTTTGAGACCATGGGATATGGACCGAGGGAGATTGATCTCCAGGTCCTGGTGGACAGAGTCTTGCGGTGCTTCAAACCGGGCTTCTTCTCGCTGGCACTTTATGCGACTGGGATCAGTGGAGCAGCCGGGAAAAAAAATGGTGGCTCCTCCTGGGGTGTGGGATTTGTTCCCAGAGGCTACTCTTGCGTGGGAAGTAGCCGCCAGGAACTTGGAAGTGGAGGAGATGTTGTGGTCTATCACACTTTCCGGGCCGAGGAGGAGCGATCGTCGCCATCGCCACCATCGCCAGATTGGTGGTCTTCAGTTCCAAGGCCTCTGGCAGTCTCGATCGATCCCAAGCGTCAGGAGCTGGAAAGTTTGAGCGACATCAAGCTCAAGTCGATCGAAACACTCAAGTTGAAGCAGCTGGTTGGCCGCCTGGTGCTGGAACAAGCTGCGTAAGGAGGAAAAGAAGAAAAACAATAAGAACAATAAGCGGCATATTCTGTCGCGTGTGAAAGAATATCCTTTGTGTGGTGTTTTAAGTTTATTCTGTCGGTGTTGCCCTAAAATTTGTGGTATATTCTGTTTGCGCTGCGCACATTCTGTTTAGTTTTTAATCGGTCAAAGGTGATTGCCAGCTGGCCAAACGCGGCTTGACCGTGAAACTACGTGGTGGAAACTTCACAGACTATGGATGTTTTAACGATGAGTAAATTTCTCGGATGGCAATGAGAATGTGTTCGTGCTCTTCTCATGGACGACGAACACGCAACTCTTCTCTTTTCCCCACAGAAGCTTCTCCGTAGAAATCGCGAGGGTTCTAGCGAAGGAGCAGGCGGCGTCCGCGGCGGGGCAAGGATTCTTGGAGAAAGGGCATGGCGCCAGCGCCCGGGTAGGCAGGCGACGCGCGAAATGCGTGTGCGCGATCGCTGTTCTTGCTGCGGGCATCCATTGTGATCGCGATTATCTAGGTCTGTGGAGGAAATCGGTGGATTGAGCTTGTCTAGGGAAGAAATCGTCGCCCGGGTGGAAGATTACGGTGTGAGCGTGGGATTGCTTGTGGTTTCAGTGATCTGTATGTGGTGGTTTCGTCGGCGCCGGGGCCGAAGGGATGATCGTCCAAAGCGCAGCATTGCGATGTCTTCTTCTTCGTCCTCCGGGGACTACAAACGTAACTCCAAAAAACTGGCTTGTTTCTTTCTTTCTACTTTTTTCTTTTATTTCTTCGTTGTTCGATGAAGACACTGACGCTCTTTTTGTTTGTTCTTGTGACAGTTGCGTGCTACTCTTACACCGATTTACAATCCGCTACAGAGAACTTCTCTCCCGAGAAGAAGATTGACGAGGGACAATTTGGCGAGCTCTACAAGGCTAGTGTTGTTTGTATTTTTTTCTTTTCTAATCTTTCTGTGGCTAATCGTTCTTCCTGCTCGCTCGGTTTTTTCTATCTTCAGGGTGAATTGTCGGATGGAACCAAGTTTGCGGTGAAGAAGCTTTCATCAAAGTATCACAAAGAAGACCACAGTGTGTTCGCTAGCGATGTTTCCAGTATCTTCGCTGTTGAGCATCCAAATCTCGTCAAGCTCATGGGCTGCTGCATCGAGGCCGATGAGCAATTTCTGCTGTACGAGTTCCTCGAGAACGGAAGACCACTCTCGCGGCTTCTCTTCAGTAAGTTTCTCTTGGCTAGCTGGAGTTTTCTAAGTTGTTCTTACGTAAGCCATTGCAGACCCAGATAATGGCGAATGCCTAAGCTGGCAAACAAGAATGACCATTGCGATTGGGATCGCTCGGGGTGTTAATTATCTCCATGAGGAAGCTCATGTTATCCACGGGGATATCCAAGCAAGCAATATCATCATTGATGAGAACTTCACACCGAAAATCTCGGATTTTGGTCTTACAAGCCTTCTACCTGACGAGGATAGCTACATCAACTCAAGATTCAGTGGAACTTTGTAAGTATCTTTTACCTTTTCCGCGTAGAAAAAGTCCTGATGCCTTTTGGCTTTCGATGCACAGGGGTTACATTGCTCCAGAAGTCGCTCAAGGCAAGCTGACGGACAAGGCCGACGTATTCAGCTTTGGAGTCTTGCTCCTGGAGATCGTGAGTGGGAGGAACAACTTCGAACCAGATCTACCAATGGAGACGGTGTTCCTCGTACAATGGGTCAGTGCTAGCAGCTTATATATTTCTCTTTCTTTCTTGAGTTTCTCATGGCCGAAGTGACACAAACGCAGACTTGGAAACTATACGAGCAAGGCAAAGTTTTGGAGCTGGTCGATCCACTGCTCAACAACGATTTCCCGGAGGAGGAAGTTTTCAGAGCCATCCACATTGCGCTCTTGTGCACGCAAGACTCCGTCAAGAGCCGGCCACACATGGTCCAGGTACGAGCCATGCTAACAGGTGACTGGGAAATCTCCGTGTTTCCGTCGAGGCCAGGATCGCTGACGGGCCCGTGAAGTGAGCGATCGCTCACGCGGATCTTTGTCTCGTCCCGGAGAAAGATTTGTAACTGCGTTTTCAACGCTCAGGTACGATTGCAACTAGTTTCGCAATTGACAAGTCTGGTTGCAGCGTCAAAAGGCATGACTTTTTTTGTATGGAAGAAAAAAAAAGTATGTAAAAATCATTAAAAAAAATGTAGATTCTTTTTCTTCTGGATGGTTCACATAAGGACGTGTGATAAACGGAAATGGATGAGTTTTAGATGGATTGCCTTGGCAGACTGGGAATTTGCTCTGGTCTGCTCAAACCGAGACAAACAAGCTCGCTAAAGTGGTGTTTTTTCTCTACTCTTGACTGTCCGGCTCAAGAGAAGCCCTACAACTGTCCTATGGTTTGCATCATGTCGGGCTCAGTGGCAACCAAAGAAAAGCCGAGAGGTCCTCTCGTGAAGAAAAAATGGTAGCTCAGTGAAAGAGGCTTTGGCCGTATTCTATAGAGGTTTGGTGTTCTTGGTCTCTTGTTTCTTTGTCTAGAGGCAGAGACAATTAGATTAAGCCATCTCAATAAAAAGTGATGTCATTCTTTATATAGTGGAACCTTTGTTTTAGCTTTATTTCATTGGAGGCTATGACACTGATGAATCTAGTGAATTTAGGGCTAGCACTAACATGGTTTCTTGCCCATTAGGTTCTTGAAAGATCCTAAAGAATACTCTTTTACAGGGAAACGAAAGTACCTACATGACTAAGCAAATCCTTCGGGATTTCAGATCTTCACTCAGGATCCCAAGCTCTCAGATTTTGGTCTTGCTGGGAACCCTGCCAATGATTCCAGCCAGCTCCAACCCCCTCTGCTTCCCCCTGGGCGGAGCAGGGACAAGCTGCCTCTTCCTCTCCAATGGATGACCACCTTCTTTTTCCTAGCAGTGGAACTCGATTTAAATGAGGAGCTCAGTAGTACATTGACTTCATCTAGATTGTAAGTTTCTGTTCTCTGTTAATTTAATGAAATAAATGTTTGCAGAGAGTTGTCCAGATATTGCATACATTCGTACCATGCTTGATGTTGGCTGTTGATGTTTGTTTGATTAGAATGTTATTATCGTTTGCTGCAAAAGAAGAACAAGCATGGACTTCCAGCAATTCTCACGGTCATGGGAATGCAGAGGCTGGTTTATCCTAGCTATGCTTATGATATCGCACATTGTGCTGGCTATAGAGCTCTATGGCATGAGGTATACATTTATTTTTGTATATTTGAAAGGACTTCATTATTACTTTTTTGCCACAGTTGGTAAACTCTTTTTGGACCTCTGAAAATGAAGAGCTAAAAGTCATCCACTTACCTATTTCTAGGCTTAGGGAATTTTGCAAGTTAAGACTCTCGAAATATCTCTAAATGTAAGAGTGCAAGTTGATGTTTATAATGGTGTCATGGCTTTTTCTTTTCCTTATTTGTTTCTTTTCTATTGTCATACAAGGTTTTTTCTTTCAGATGTTAGATATACAATCATTTTGCAATTGATTCAAATTTTGTTATTTCTATTAACTACTTCCTTATCCTAAGTCCATGTCACTTTTAAGTTTACCTTTGACCCACGTTGACCACGTGGTCAAAATTGGCCAATAAATTCTTATCCCAAGGATAAGTTGCATTAGTGATCAGGAATTTTACTAGCACTAGCTTTGTAAGTACATGACTGAATAACAGCAAAATCCCTCTTCATATATAGGTCTCCAAAAGTCTACAACATGTAAAAAGGATGATGATTAAAACATTTTTGAGGATTTATTTTTATCTCTAGTTATGAACAATATTCTAAAATATTGTTGAGCTTTTAGGGTTTGTGTCGACGATGGAAGAAACTTCTGATCTTTTCTTTCTCTGCAGCATCTTCTACCAAACCCGGATGCATATGCAGATAAGGAAGAAACGAACCTTGCTGCCTTTAAGCATCTAGAGTATGCCCTGGCGGAAATCAAACCTCACAGCGAGTTCGTGACTTGTTCATCACAAAAGATCAACCAGCTGTGAAGGATACCACATCTTGCAAATGTGTTCCATGCAGTCGGAAGCATTTTCCAGGCCAGTTCTCCCACAGCCTGGGAGGAAGCCATGACTCACACGAACAGCAAAATAATGGAAAGAAGGAAAAGAAGAGCGGAAAGAAAGAAGAAAAAGACTTTATGGTCTCTGTGGCGCTTGGTGGGGGGCATGGTACCTGTGCCAGACTTTTGGTCTTGCGATACAGAAACTCTGGCTCAAGATCATGCAGGAGTTGCCGCCGTCGGTCCCCAAGGCATTGAAGGAAGTATGTCGTGAGGGATGCATGCGTTGCGTCAGAGAGAAATCCGCCTGGCACCCCAGTGAATTGTATACCGGAGGCCGAGTTCCCGTTGTTTGTTGACAAAAAGCAGAAATTCTTCCGCTTGTCCGCTCGAACTAATCCAATCCAGCAGCATATCCAGGTTGATGTTGAGTTTTGCTGTCCAAATGCGGGACTCGTGCCACCATCCTGCTGCAAGCACACGGGAATCTTGAATGGCTGCGGAGACGCAGTGCTCCATGTCATCGTTCCGACCGTATCTCGCCATGCTTGGATTTCAACACAGCGGCACTGGCAAGGGGAAGAAATTCCTGGTGAAGATCAGTTCTTTCTTGTTTTGCCAGGAAGAAATTGGAGTCCCATGATAAATCTTCCTATTATCACGAAACAAATGGCATCTCTTATGAGAGATGCTGACTTGGAAGAATAGCTTTAACTTTCTTTCCTCACCTCCTTGGAAGCTCTCACGAATCGGAAGCTCTGCAAATGGAAATGAGAATTGTGAGTCGCAAAAATGGAGATCGTCGTTGTGACTAGACAAACTGTTTCTCGCGTATGCTGAGCATCGAAGAGAAGTCCTCGGCCACGTCCTTGGGAGGAACTGTGACGGGATGAGCGCTGCTGAGCTGATGGTGAATCCCCGCGAATTTTTCTTGGAGTCTCTCCACCTGTTTGACAAGGAAAAACCGGATTTTGTTCCCAAGCAAGCACAGATTTTTCGATCATACCCGTCTTAGCTCGTGCTCAAGATCCATCCTCTGGTGCTCCAGCACTTGCCTCGCTTGCTGGACGTCAAACACGCGATCGAGATCCTCCTCAAACGCGACTTCCAGATCCTCGCGCAGTAGCGCCGGGAACTTGTCCACCACGGGCATGAGGAAGAAGCAATTGAACTGCGCGAAACAACACAACAAAGAAGAACTTTGAGAACTTTGAGAGCTTTCGACCGTTGGAAAGAAGAAAAGTTGGAAGAACTTACTTTCAACTCGGCAGCTGTGACGAAGTGATCCCGGATGCCTTCGAAGATCTTTGCGACGAGAGCGTTCACGATGTCCTCGGACGATTGCGCGAGGCGCCGATTCCACAGCGTGCTCTCGAGAAGATCCACGAGCCTCGTCTGCGTCATCTGGCCCCCGGACGAGTCCTGGCCTTTGAGCACCTTGGACGAGTTTTCCTGCTTGTTCCCGTTGCTTGCGACGCTCACGAGATCGCCAGATCCTCCTGCACTGTTCGTGAGAATCGATTGCTCGAGCGAGACCGTGTCCAGGAACTGTCGCAGTCCAGCCCGGTTCTGCAGTGGACAAAAAAAAATCCGATTTTTAGTCACAGGCTAGGACGTTTTCACCGAGTGCTACCCTGTTATGCAGCGACCAGGTGACATAGCGCGTTGTGCTCAAAAGATCTTCCATGCACCTGGGATGGATCAAAGCTAGAATAACTCCAAAACGCGAAAGAAAGGCTTACTTCTCTCGGCATGCTCGTTCTGTGCATTCCACGAAGAGATGGAATGCGGTTGACACGCGCTTCATAAACATGTCGTGGTTACTTAAATACTCCCCGTCTTTCTGTAAGTCTCGGCCATGAAACTCTTCAGGGAGCAACGAGAAGAACACTTACTTGGAGTAGAAACAGCGCAATAGGCAAAAGTCTTCGCAAAACATGCGAGAGTCTGAATCCCAGCTGATAAACACGACGAGAATGTGAGTACGTGATGAGTGATCGTTCGATCTACCTGATGAAGAAATGGCTCAAACACGTCTCTGCCTTTCGCAACAGCTATGACACAAGCAGTCCTGAAAAAACACATTTTCTATAAGAAACGAGGCGCAACCAAGTAAGGAAACCTGAAGTAATTCGTTCCGTCGTGCATGTCCTCGACTCCACAGGCGTTTACAATCTCTTCTCTGGTGATTACCGGGCACTTCATGCCTCCAACCACGAAACGAAACTCCGCCATGGCTCTGTGGTATTGAGCTCCTCCATACAAACGCATCCCGGCATTCTAAACCAAAACGAGATCTCTCACACCAGAGGCCTGAAATATGAGCTTCATACCGGCATGTGTTTGAAAGGCAATTGAAGACCATCTGCACCTACAAACGCTCCTCCGTGAACTCGCTCGTCTTGCAACGTCTCACCTGCAAAAAAATTCTGTAAGTGGTGAGATCTTCGTGTTGTAAACTTCGTCCGTTCATACCAAACTTCTCTGGTGGCGCCACCACTGTTCCTTTGAGTAAAAGCGAGAGCTGAAAGTACAAAGTTTCTCAATCAAGAGATAGTTTCTAGCGACAAAATCGAACCTTTGCGAGAAAAGAGTCTCTGAAAACACGACCACGCTCCTTGAGCTTGATCTCGTCTAAGTCACTGCAGCAAAGAGTTTAGCTAGCCAAAGAAACGAGAGAGAAAAGCTCATACCTCAAGTCAGTCACAGTCTGATGCAGCTTTAAGGTGACGTTCCGGTATTCTCTATCCAGCAGCGGGACAATGGATGGAACGCTTTCCATGTACCTGCGATCTGACTAAGTTCTAGCGAAAAAAAAAAAACATCTATCACGCTTACTTGCGCTGCAGGATTTGTTCTAAGAACCATCGAAGCCGGCTAACTCCGACGTGATTTCTTTCTTCTCTGAGCAGCGGACGACCCAGCTTCTCTTCGAGACTTGAAACATCTTCCAGTTCTCGTGCTGCAACCGCCTAAAAAAATTGTATTGTTTTGTGAAGAAAAACCAGGACTTGCCTCTCTAAACTGTTCGTTTGACTTGTACACTGCGTCACGGCCACTCCCGACTCTCCCAGAAGGCACTGATGTGAAAAACGGGGTCCCGCCCAAGATATCCCCATCTAGCAGGCGAGGTGGCGGACGGAGAAAAAGCTCTACGTCCGCAGCTCTTGCAAATTGTGGAATTCGAGTGTCCAGTTTTGTCGAGACAACTATTGTCCGAGACAGCTCAGGATCCACCTTGCAAAAATGTCAGCTTTTCCAAGAAAAAAAAAAGACGTTTTCGTTCACTACCTGCATGACAACTCTTCGCGTAGTCGCGTTGCTCCAGTCGCTACAGTCCTCGAGGCAAAGAATGATAAACTCTTTGTGCTGCATTTTGCTTCGAACGAGAGCTTCCACTGCTTTGGCCTGAGCCTGCGAAAGCATTCACTCACTCAAACCGAAAGCTTTGAACACAAACCTGGAGCGCGGTGGTTGCGTTAGATTGAGGAGGCGGAGCTATGAGCCCAGGCGTGTCAATGATCGTAAGATTTGGACAGTATTTGTACTCGATCTTGATGATGATCTCCTTCGCCCAAAACTGGTGAGTGTCTCGTTCGAGTCTCAAGTTCTCGGACTCTATGTGAGCCTGCGATACAAAAGAACCACCAAAGAACTTTACGTGATGAAACTCCAAGAAGGAAAGAACCACGTACCTGGATATCATCCAAGCTGCGTTCTTCTTCGCGAGGAAGACCATCCTCGGTCATGAGATAGCACAGTGGCTCGGAACAGGCAGCGTTGTACTTCATGTGTAGCGTGATCGGCCTCCTCGTCTTGGTTCCTCCACCAACGTGGTTAAACTGGAATCCCATGAGAGCTTCGATGAGAGCACTCTTGCCATCCGTTTGATGCCCCACGAGAAGTATAGCCGGGGCCTCGAACGGCTTGTCAAAGTCCTGCGCAAGCCCGTGAAGATCATTGTAAGCCTCGTAGAGCTTCTCGTTGCCAGCCGATGGATACAAGCTCTCGGGCGATCCGGAAAGAGCTGCTGTTGCTCGAGAGACGTCTTTGGGGCCGTGATCCCGGTTGAACAAATGGAGCCTCGGCAGAGTTTTGTGACGACCAACCAGGTAAGGTGACAAGCCCACGAGGTTGTGCTGGCTTGGCGAGCTCATGCTCGAAACAAAAACTCCAGGATGCCCGTGACTTCTTCCTTGCTGCTTAGAAGTCGCGGGATCACTGCCCCCCATCACGGGAACGAAGCTGTAGGACGGAGTGAAACCCGGCCTTGGTTGATCATTCGGTGGAGTGAAAGCGTTGGCCGGTGGCGAGTTTCCATTCCAGTGCCTGGGTGGAGACGACTGATCAGAGGCTTTCGGGGAGTTGCCCTGTGAAGAGGCACTGGTTGCCTGGTGGGAAATCCAGCGCTCGGCCACATTTGCTCTCGCCTCGTGCTTCATTGTCGAGGACGAGCAGGGATCGATCCGCCCAAATCTAGAAGCTCGCGAGAAACGATCCAAATGGGATCAAAACGATGAAACTCACCTGAAAGATGCCGGCCGCTTTGAATGAACCCCAGCGCTCCCTGTGGCAGTGTAAGTAACAGCGAGATTTCATGACGGGTTCTGACGTACGGTTGACGGGTCCATTTTGACGGGCCAGGAAACTTTACAGGCGGCAAAACGATAAGCTGCACGCGAATCTCTTATCCGATCGTCTGCATGGCGGACATGAAACTAGCTCGTTGATGAGCTTGGAGATAAAAATCGTATTTTTGGTGATCCAGACTTTCAGTGACTGAATCTCCAGTATTGTTTTGTATCTTCCACAATCAGTGCCTTTGGATAGTATAACTCTTTATATGTTAAAATTCACTGGCAGAAAAGCTAGTGAATGGAAACACAAAACAATTTCAACAGTGTTTGTTACATTTCCGTATAATATTTTTATTTTCATATTTTGATAGTAGATGACCATCAAGTTACACATAAAAATGCAAACGTTATCTATTTGTAGACCATAAACTTTGGCTAGCAATAATATTTTCAACTATCAAATTATAGTTATTAAGAGTTGCTCTATATTTTTATTTGATGATATTAAACATATATGATCCAAAGATTAAAAAAATACTTTGTGTTCGATATTGTTAACATTGTGAAGTATCTAGATCATTTGAATTTAAAATATTTGGAGGTGGATATGATTATCAGGTAAACATTTTGGACAAAGTAGCTCAGGATATTTTTCATTAGGATTTACTATTGATCTAGTACCAAAATAGTGTATTGTAATATATCTATGTACTGTGTCAAACATTCTTAAACCATAAAGATATGCACGATAATCTATAAGTCTCTAGAATTTGTAAAAATGTTGATTGCAAGTATTCTGCTGAAAACTCAAATTTTGCATAAATTGATATACAATTAAACTTTCTAAAAATAATTAGAAATTCTTATAAACACTTGCTGACTACTAGTGAAAATTTATTCTTGAATGTAATATCCAAATGGTCCACATATTATTTATATGTCAATACTAGTGATCAATTCCACTTTACCATTTATCTGATTCACAAATTATGAATTTTTTTAATAATTATTGAAAGGCATTCATATTAAAAATAACTTGCTAAACAAATCAATTAATAGAAAGTTTTAAATAAAATGATTAAATTTATAATATGATTTTCAAAGAGCAAGAATGCAATGGAGATGCAAGGGTGTAAAGATTTATTCTTTCACTACTTAAATGAATTACATAAACTCAAATATAAAATTCTGCCAGGTGGCAGTTAACTCATTTCCTCTGCTAATTATTTAAGAACTAAAATAATAAATTAATCCTTAAAAATATAAATCTTTTCATATTTGATTGTCTGTTATAAATTATGAATGAAAATATAATAAAATGATCCAAATTAGTAGGAAAAGCATGTCAAAACAAAATAAACCATGGAAGTTGGCCGTAAAGTCTACATCCACGACCAAGCTCACACTCCAAGATTCTACTGGATGGCCTGGTTTCTCTGGTCGGCATGGTGAGGACAATAATATGTTTCTTCTGGAACCCGAGCTTTGTTGTGCAACGTCAAATATAAAATTCTGCCAGGTGGCAGTTAACTCATTTCCTCTGCTAATTATTTAAGAACTAAAATAATAAATTAATCCTTAAAAATATAAATCTTTTCATATTTGATTGTCTGTTATAAATTATGAATGAAAATATAATAAAATGATCCAAAGTAGTAGGAAAAGCATGTCAAAACAAAATAAACCATGGAAGTTGGCCTTGAAGTCTCTCACGACAACCAAGCTCACACTCCAAGATTCTACTGGATGGCCTGGTTTCTCTGGTCGGCATGGTGAGGACAATAATATGTTTCTTCTGGAACCCGAGCTTTGTTGTTGCAACGGTCCCCTTTCACTTTTGTTCCACGACAAGTCTTGAGTTCACCCTTCACCACTGTTGCCGGCTCTTTCAAATCGAGGAGATCAAAGACCTCAAGGCAATCGTGCACATCACCGAATTTTCTGAAATGCAGATCTGAGTGGGGCACGTCAGTCAGCCGGACGGACTGAGGCATGATGTAGTAGAACTCTTCCTTTACCACTGTCCACCGCTTTTTGGTTGCAGCCTTCCATTCCGGCAGAACTACTCCCTTCCAGACTTGTTGGGACTTTGCCTTCCACTGAGCGACGATGATCTGCATTGCTGCAAGCCGAAGCTCCTTTCCAACCAGTATGACGTAGATCACGTCCACTGCTTGCTCGTTGAAAGCCAGTGGACCCAATAGAACGCCTTGTGTAAGCTCCTTGGTTCCCAGCTCGTTAAGAGCACTTGCCTCTGAGCCGCGTGCATATGTCCTGAAATGCCTGAATGTATATCCAAAGATGCTCTTCTGATACCTCATCACAGCTATCACCAAGCCTTCGACGTTCCAGGCGATCCGGGCAGGGTTACGCTTTATCACCTCTTCTTCATCAGGCTCCTGACAGTCGACACTAATGGCCTGAGCCCAAGTCTCAATGTCACTCAACAGCAATGAGCTTTGCAGATTCTCATGTTGGTCCATAATGTACAGCTCCGCCTGACTGCGTACGTAGGGGCTCAGAGGACGAAAGAGGCCAATACCACCACTTTCATCCTTCTCCTTATAGAAGCAAGTGAAATCCGTAAGAGCAGGTCCCAGCTCGTGACTGAGTTCTCCCCAGATGACCAGCTCCAGGGCACCACGAAGCTGCTTCTGCGTCTTGAGCAAGCCAATAAATCTCTTGAACAGCCTAGACATATACGTGCCTCTGATCTTCCCTTCAAAGACTCCCTCGTTCCCCTTAGATTCCTCATAAAACTCGAGAAGAAGTGGAATACCCCCGGTTAAACGATCTGCATGCTGCAGCTCTTCTACCGTTGGTGTCGACTGTGCCATCCACGTTTCCATCTCGCGGCTGGTGTATGGGCCATCGAAGAATTCAGTCTGTATGTGATCGTCAGCCTTGTCACTCTCCGACCATATCTGCCTTTCCCTGCTATCAACCGAAGACAGCATTAGGAGCTTGTGGGTGAAAGCCGCAGAGGCCAAGTCCGCAGAAGAGACGCTATTCGCCTCGAACTGATCCCAGTCATCCACTACGAACAACAAGGCCCCCCGTTTCTGCTGGCGACACCACGACTTAAGTTCGTCGATCGAAGTCATTGAGGAGAGTGAAGAAGAATCGCCAGATGCCACAATCAAGGCTTCCCTGAGGACCAAAACAGGCTCCGCAATGTAGCGCAGCACGGAGATATAAGCTACACTCATCATCTGAGAGCCAACGAGGTAGCCAGAGATGGTGGATACCACTGTGCTCTTCCCAGTACCTTTGGCACCTAAAACCTGCATATGTTGCCTTGCTCTCATGCTCGTCATCGCACCATACAGCCTCTCTGCACCCTCCCTTCCTACGTACTTGTATTGGGCTGTAAGGTTGGCGGCGAAATTCGTCGTAGGGCGGAGAAGCTCCCACACTTGACACGGATCCCACAGGAAGCTTGGATCTCGCCCAAAATACAAACGCGCAAGAGCATTGCGGAGAGCCGTAGGGCCTAAATCCTCAAGCGCCTCCGCGCTGCGCTTCAGCGGCAGTGACATTGTTGTTGCCAAAAACCTTAATGGTGAATTAAGTTTTGTAAAGTTTCTTTGCACTAAATACTTATGTGAAAGTTCCTGACTTTCATACTTTCATGTGAAGTGATGCAAACTTTTATTCATCAACTTTGAAGAATGTGTAGGACAGGACTAGATTTGTTATATCATCCATGCGGGGATCCGTAGCAAACTCTGGATCCACGTAGAAGAATACCTGCAAAGGAGCCACGGTAACGATCTGGCAATGGACTTTGTTTTTGATTTTTGTTCGAACTCACTGGCATGTCTATCTTTTCTCCTGGTTGAAGCCTCTGTTCCTCAAAGCAGAAGCACTGTATCTTATTGAAATAGACGGCCGCCTGGAAAAATCCCAGTGTGAGCTACTTTGAAGGCGGCATAGTTCTCGTCAAAGTACCTGCATTGGCACCACATTGTATGTTGAAACACCGGTGATAGGCTCCGAACTGAGATTCTCGGCCGTGAAAAACGCTAGTGAGCTCTCACCGGGTCTCACCTTCACCTGAACAGCAAAACAAAACGTGTGACTAAACTCAAGAACTGAAGTTACCGTTCTTTGACACGGCGTGAATCTCCATTGCAACTTATCGGAGACATCCGTGTTGAATTGCACGACAATCTCGCTGCAAAGAAAGACGAGCAAACGAAGAAACGAATCACAAAACGCTTGAGAAGGAAAGAGAAAGATCACACCGAGTTACTGGAGCGTCTTCTTTAGCATGGCGAGCGATCTTTTCCTCCACAGACTGCAAAATGGCCATCACCAATCAAGCACACAAAATGGTAAGAAAACAAAAAAAAGAAAGGAAGGAGAAAGAAAGTTACCTCTTTTCTTTGGATTGTTCCACCATAGCCAGTTGCTTGGCAAAACCTCCGATAGAGTGGCACCGAGGCGTACGTGAGACCGACCATTCCAATCACCACCGTGCTGAGATACATTAGAGTCGTTTGCGTCTTGTTTGGCCTCTCTGTTGCCCCTGGCGACGCTGATGCCCTGGCCGCGAAGTAGCGCGATGCCGTGTAGCTTGGCAAAACGATCGACTCAGCGAGAATTTCGAAGAAAGATCACGATATTCTCACCGGCATTCAGTCGATCGCACGGCATCGCGCAGCGCCCACGCCCTCGCCCTCGGCGCCAATCGCCCCAGCATTTTAGAATTTAGGGCTTTTCCCCTTGGGTTTATCCGTACGGACAAACGTACGCTTTGGCCCATCACGTCAGCTGTTCGAATCCTTGTGGCGTCACTTAGGGTTCTTGTGTCAGATCGCTTGGTTGTTGCGCGGCAAAGAGATCAGTCCTCCATTCCTTTGGTACTCTGCAATCTCCCAGGTGCCCTGCGATGGTTTGCGATGGATTGGGAGAAATCTATCCTCCAGCGCGCCTGATTGATTCGCTGCAGCGGATAAAGATCGAGGTAGGGAAATGCCAGGACATCTAGCCCTTAATCGTTTCCTCTATTCTTCCTTCGGAGGTAATTTCTTCGTTCTTCACATAATCTTCTCAGACTCACCGCGCCTAGCTTCAGATTTGCGCTCTAGGATCTATAGAGCTATCTCGAGAGGTATAAAGAATCTCTAGAATTATCTTATTGATGAAAGAGAGCTTTGCTCTTTGCCACATTTTTTTGCTGGAGACTAACTATCTCACTTTTACCACCAGTGGTGCAGCCATTTCGCTGGACAGCTTGAGAACTTCGGTGAGATCAACGGGATGGGCTGGGTCGACCTGGAACTCAAACTTGTGAACCAACCGAGCCGTCCAGAGAAGAACAGTAGCGAGGCCGAGAGCTCGTCCGGGACACACTCGGCGACCAGCTCCGAATGGAGCGAGACGTAAGTCAGTTCCTTTCACGTCGACGTCCTGCTCCAGAAATCTCTCCGGGCTGAACTTCTCAGGCTCGGTCCAGATGGATGAATCGTGAGTGATGGACCACATGTTTACCATGGCCGTGGTGCCTGCAGGGACGTGGTGACCGGCCAAGGTTACGTCGTGAATCGCAAGCCGAGCCCAAGAGAGCAAGGGACCCGGAGGATGCATCCGAAGAGTCTCCTTTACAACGGCTTGGAGGTACACCATCTTGTGGAGGTCAGACTCGGCAACTTCGGATTTTCCTCCAACTACGCTAGCGATCTCCTCACGCAACTTGCTCTGGATTTCAGGATGGAGGACGAGCTCCGCGAGAATCCACTCGGTGAGGAGAGCAACGGTGTCAGTGCCTCGGAAAATCATCTCCTGTGAAGACACGTAGACGTGAGTCACAAACGAAAATGAGAATTGAAGACTCTTACCCAGAGGACTGCGATCATGTCGGAATCGTTGAGCTTGTCTTCGCCATCAAGTGAGAGAAGCACATCAACGAAGTCCGGCCCAGCAGCTTTGTTGTCGAGCTGACGATGCTCGTCGATGATATTCTGCACAAAGCTCGTCACGCGGGGAACCAAAACGGCACACCGCTGGAGGATGTTCTGGGGATCGACTGCCTTGAGAGCTGGCAAGTGATCGGCCCAGTTGAATGCACCGAGCAGCTCGAATCCTTCCCTCACCATCTCAGAAAGCTGAGCAGCATTTTCAGAGCCATCCTCGAACCTCCTGCCGAACACCGTCTGCATGATATTGTTGAGCGAAGCTCGCTGGAGAAAGTCCCGGACTCGGACAAGGCCGTGGTTGTCTGCTGCAAAGGTACTCATGGCTTCGATCATCCTGCTTGTCTCTGCCTGACGAGATGGTTCGTGAGCAGCAATCTGGCGTGGAGAGAACAGATAGTTGGAGGCAATCCTTCGCAGGTTACGCCAGTAATCTCCATAGGGAGCGAAGCCGATTGCTCGTCCAAAGAGGAGCTGCTGAGCCGACTGCTTGAGGGGCCTGTCCGCGAACTCGGAACTGTTGAGCAGCTCTCGTGCTACTTCCGGCTTGCTGGTGATGATCATCCTCGTGTTACCCAGGCTGAAGGCCATGAGCTCCTTTGCATGGTGCTTCTCGGCAAGCGCGGCCAACTTGCGATGAGCTTGGCCTCCCATCTCAGTCAAGACTCCAAGCACTGGCCATCCTCGGGGTCCCGGGATCGTCTGCTTCCTCTTCAGCGTCCTTCCCCATGCATTGCCGCCAGGAACAAACCAGGAAGCCAGGATCGCCGAGACAGCAGCTAGAACAAAAATGGCCACAGCAGCGACAAATCGCCATGCATGATCGTTGGCTTCAGCAGACAGATGCCGGGAGCAAAAAGGCAGAGTGAGGATCCACCAGTCGAATCCAGAAGCCGACTCCATGATCAGAGCACTCACTTGGAGAGAAAGAAGAGAACCCGAGGCAGGAGACTGAGATATGAAAGCTCTCGCGGCATGGGTCTTATATAGTGACCAAGGAGGAGATTACTTTGCGACTGGTGGCTCAAGGGGAGTGCTCCAAATTGGTAATTACTCCGAGGTAAGCATTCCACTTTTCTGGTTTCTTTTCGCTGGCTGTGCTGAAATTTACTCTTTTTCTGGCTTGTGGAAATTTACTGCTTTGTGTCGTTTGGTTAGCTTGCTCAGGGGTCCCTTCCATGTTTGAATTACTCTTGCTTGCCTGGGGGGAGCCAGCCATGATGAATGTGCCCTGCGCTTTCGCTCAGTATTTTGTCGGTGTTGCAGATTACGCACTGTGGATGGGCTTGAATTCGCTTGTACTGTACACGAGCGCAACAACAACTAGAGAGGCTCATCGCATGTAAGTCATATGTTCGTCATGTGTGCTGAAATAAATACGTTGGTTGTTTTTATAGCTCGGAGCCAAGGACTGGGGGAGCCTCTCGCCTCATTCATTGAGGAGATGAAGTTCAGGTGTTTACATCAGAAAAAACAATTGACATACACTTTTCTAAACCTCTATTCTTTTCTTCTGTAGATGTCCATCTGAACCGAATACAACTGGGAGGAGTTACTTAAAGCCAAGAGCTTAAAGTTTCGTTCTTACAATTTTTCATACAAAAGCTGCATACCATCACCTTGGCGTTGCGAGAGCTCTCAGAGGTACTTTCTTCCGTAGAGTTATGACAAATGCATCCTCTATGTCCAGGTTCTCCTCGCTCACCTCCCACTTAAATGCCTGAATCAATCTAGCCAGGGTGATATCCACCGTTTTCAGTCCCAAGTTCATCCCGGGACACATTCTTCTCCCAGAAGCTCAAAGTGTTTCCCTTTCACATCAACTGTGCCTTCCGTAAACCTTCAGGATTAAAAATCCCTGCAGACTCACCCCACCACCTTGGATCTCGAGCGATCGACCAGATGTTAATCAGCCCTCTTGTTTTCTCAGGGATGGCGAAGCCGTTTACCTTTCAGTCTTAGAGGAGCTGGCGGATGCAAGCGGAAAGTCTCCTTGACCACGGCTTTGAGGTATTTCAGTTTGGAAAGATCGTCTTCGTTTACGTCTCTACCGCCGCCAACGATTAGATCGATCTCATCTTGTGCTTTGGCCATGCAGGGTTGATTTCTTATTAGCTCCGAGAGTGCCCACTCCATGGCGATGGCCGCCGTGTCAGTTCCTCCGGCAAGTACGTCCTGGCACACCCGTTTTAAAATGGATCATTAGCTTCCAAAACTATTGAAAACTTACCGTGATCATACCTTTCAGACAATCGTTATCAAAGTCATCCAGTGACAGCATCACGTCGATCAGATCTGGAGCTTGATTGTCAACTTTGTCGAGAGGTTTGCCATCTCCTTTTCTCACCGGCTTTAGTTTTGACTTGTGTTCATCAGTGATCCTTTGCAGCACCTTGTCCAGTTTCTTGTGTGCTGCTTTCATGGCTCCAACTGCGTTTTGGTAATCCAGCCAGCCCAAGAAGGGCCCAAGACGAAAGCTCCCATAAAATCCACTGCCTCTCGCACCAGCTCCACAAACAGTGAGTCCTCAAATCTCTCGTTGCCATATGAAACATAGAAAACATGCTTGGCAACTGAGATCTTTGGCCTTGATGGAAAATGGATGTCATAAATGGAGAGAAAAGCTTTTGCTGCATCTGGGGAGGACACCACAATGGTTGGGACTACACCAAGTTTGATACTCATGATGGGACCAAATCTTTCAGAGAGTTTGGACAGGGATTTGTAAGAGTGAGTTCTCAGCAAATGCAAATGCCCAATAAGTGGAAGTCCATTTGGTCCTGGTGGGAGATTTCTTCTTTGTGAGCAAAAATGAAGAGATACCAAAAAAGATGATTGCAGTGATCATATCCATGCTTTACTGAAGAGCATTACTACCTCAGTGTCAATTATGGGTGGAAAAATTATTGTGACAAGCCACATGGAAAGTTCGATGAATAAAAAAGCAGCCGTTCGATGGACCTTTGCCAACCAACGGCTGGCATTCATTTGTTTCGCGCTCGAAGAAAAATCACATAGCCTTGTTAAATGCCTAGCCAGAGTGATTTCCACCGTTGTCCGTCCCAAGTTCATCACGGGACACATTCTTTTCCCGGATCCATAGAAGCTCAAAGTGCTTCCCATACCTCTCAGGATTAAAAATCCCTGCAGACTCACCCCACCACCTTGGATCTCGAGCGATCGACCGGATGTTAATCAGCACTCTTGTTTTCGCAGGGATGGTGAAGCCGTTTACCTCGCAGTCTTGGAGTGATTCGTGGGGAGCCATTAGAGAAGCCGGCGGATGCAAGTGGAATGTCTCCTTGACCGCGGCTTTGAGGTATTTTAGTTTATCTTCGTTTACTTCTCTACCGCCAAATATTAGATCGATCTCATCTTGTGCTTTGGCCATGCAGGATGGAATTTTATGAGCTCCGAGAGTGCCCACTCTGTGCTAATGGCCGCTGAGTCAGGTCCTCCGGTAAGTACGTCCTGGAATACAGCCGTTTTATGATGGCTTATCGACAGACTCTTTCCTTCTTGCCCTCTGCAATGTGGATGCTGCATACCTTGATCGCTCCTTCCATCTTTCAGCGCTCCGGACCGATATTCTTACCTTAAACCGTACAGGATTAGTGGGAATCTACGCTGTTTAAGCTAACCCAGCCTTTACTTTAGTGCACATATAAATAAGATCAAGTCCTTTAGGGTCATACGAGCTATGGCGAGAGCAAGCAAGAGAAGTAGAGAAGACGATGGTATCATGGTGCTGACAAAGAAGCGTCGACTGAGAAGCGAGAGGGCTTGCAAGCTCACGGCCCAAGAGGTGAGGGATCAAAACTTGTACGGCGTGTGGGAGCACCACGACCTGCCGGACAACGTGTACCAGTGCCCAAGGTGCCAATCTTACAACACGCGGTTCGATTACTACAACAACGAGAAGAGTACTGGCAAGCGCGACCAGCCGCGCTACGCTTGTAGGTCGTGCAAGGGAAAATGGACACAAGGTGGCAAGGTAAGGGACGTATCGCTATCGCCCACTGGTGGAAATAAGAGAACTTTAAAGAGCCATGGAAGAGACAAGATCACTCCAGTCGTCCAGGAAGAATTTGTAGGCGAATCATCTCAAGTTATGGGTGATTGTGTTGCGGGTTTTGATCAAACTACTTATTGGGAGCAAGGTCATGGTCTGGGTGATTGTGCCCAACCTTTATCTCACGAGGCTTTTGATCAAAACAGTTGTTGGGAGCTTCTGCCAGCCTTGGGTCAAGGACCTGTTGGTGACTGTGTGCAAGAAGTGTTTGCTCAAGCTAGCGAGCTTGGCGATGGAGTGTTTGCTGATCAAGTTAGTCAGGAGTTTGTTGGTGGGGTTCAAGGTGGAGATGTGCAAACCAATTGCTGGGGGCAACCTCAAGAATTCAACGATGTGTTTCTTGATATTGAGGGATTTCTGGCAGACCTGCCAGAAATACAGGCTTGCTGATTCATGGAAATTTTTGTCAAAAGAAAATTTATAGTTGGATCCCAGGGTTTCCAGAGAGTTTTCATTTGTTTGATGAGTAGAAGCCTACATAGAATTATATTTCGATCTGTATGTCAAATAATTTAGAGTATGAAAAGCCGCAAAGATAAGCCAAAATATATACTTTTTCTTTCTCTCTCTCAAAATAGTTTCCTGTCCACCAGTAAGCCGACGAAGGAGCTCACAGAAACCGCGACAATGGTTGCTCCCAGGAACCCGGAGGAAGCCTTGCCCTGCTTTCTCACCACTTTGTCCTTGCCACTGCTTGTCTCCTCCCGCGGAAAGAGCCGCTCCTTTCCTCCTCCTCGGCGCTGCCTTGAGAGCTCCGGTATCAAAATCTCTGGAGATACTTCTCATCTGTGACGAAGATGAAAATCCATGTCTTAGCAGCAAGCGAGGAAGGAGAGAAAATTGTAGAAGTGTGGTTCCTTACCTCGACTTCTTCAACGGCTGGCTCCGCCGGACGAGTCTCCAACTTCTTGGCAAACGCTCCATTTACGTGGATCTCACTCAGCTTCTTACGAAGATCCTCTCTCTCGCCTTTGATACAAGATATCTGGCGTTCATCACAAAGTATTAGAAGGAAAGAAGAAGCCCAGGCAAGAGTTACCTCATTATCCAGCAGCTGCTTTTCCTTGGAAAACTCTTCGCTCATCGCGCTTAGCTTGGCGAGGAGCGACTTGGTCTCCGATGCGTAGCCATCTCGCTGCTGGGCCTCGCTCTCCTGCATTCGCGAGATCGTCTTCTCCTGCTCAGAAATGAGTCGAGCTGCTTCGTCCAGTTTTTCCTCCAGAGAGCTCGCCACACCTTGGACCTTCGCGAGCTCTGCTTGAAAGTGTGATGCCATAGCCTCGGCTTCCTTCTCGAGCTCTTGCACCTTCTTACTTTCAGCGTCTTTGGATATCGCAGCCTCTTGTTTGGTGGCCTCGAGCACTTCCTCCCTATTAGCCAGCTTCTCCGCCAGCTTCTCGATGGTACTCTCGAGAGCGGCGATCTTCTCCGCTGCGGCTCTCTGGCTCTCCCCTGCGTCAGCCTGATGCTTTACGGTAGCTTCTTCTGCGCTCGAAAGCTTGCCTCGCAGTTCTGCCTCGGCTTGGAAAGCCGACTTGAGAGTCTCCTCTTGGCCAGCCAAGGTCTCTTTCAAAGCTGTCAGCTTGGAGTTCACAGCGAGAGCTCCTTCTCTCTTTCCGAGGCCACCTTTTCTCGTTCGCCTGCTGTTGCCTCGTGCATTGCTGAAGTTTCTTCTGCGAGCTTGAGCTGTTGACGTAGCTCCGCCTCGGTGTCAACAGCCGCCTTCAGAGTTTCTTCCTGGCTTGCCAGAACCTTCTCTAGAGATGCCAGTTTCGAATGTAAACTCGACATCTCCTCCCCCAGCTCCGCAACCTTCTTGTTGGAGACGTTGGCGAGCTCTTCGTAATGCGCCGATTTGCTCTCGGCAGCTTCGACGCTCCCTTGAAGTGTCACATGCATTTGACGAGAGCTCTCCACAACTCCTTCGAGCTCGGAAGCCTTTGCCGCGTGAGTGGAAAGTTCTGCCTGGATTTTACGCAGCTCTCGAGGTATGGTTCAAGCAAATAAGAGAAACACTTGGAATCTTTTAGAGCAGATCGAGGACAAACTTGCAAGCTTGGAAGTAAGATCGATTAGAGAACGAAAAGGATAGAAGAGAGAGAGAGATTTTAAAACCTCTGATCATTCCGGACAAAGCGTCTGGACAAAAGAAACACTGACAGAATCTACTAACAATCGTCGAGAAAGCAGCGAGATTCTCTTCGCAGTACGCACCTAAAAACTCGAGATTCAAGGGGTTTGTCTCTTTTTCAACCTTATTGAAGCGGCAGGGGATTTTTAATCTTTTGTTCACAGATTTTCACAGTGACTCTTGTCCCCCGTATCGCGTCTGTCCGCCAGCTTCACTGTTTTCTTTCCCGAGAGCACCGCTTCTCTTCAGGCGAACCCCGTGACAAGTCTAGGATTTACAAACGTAGAACATATGAGGAGAATATATGGTCAAATAATTTCTTAGTAATTAATCTAATCTTTACGTTTAGAGCTCACGAGACATTTCGAGTTTTCGTGTGTTGTGGCAGTAAGAACCTCAACTCGTGATAACGCGTGATTACCAAGGCAAAGAGATTGAAACCTTCTATGCTTCTTTCTTTGGATCTCGATCTCCTAATCGCCACTATATAGGTATCTTGGTCTGTTTACATGTGACCATGGTTTTAAGTGTAAAGATTGCTCCAGAGTGAAAAAAAGGGGAGCATGTGATCTGGCTCTCGTTTACTTGGGCAAAGTCATTTGCAACACTATCAAACTAGTGACAGATGCAATATGGCCTCCACCTCAATCTTACTCGCTTTAGCTTACCAAGTAAAAATACGGATGCAAACTTTGCATGCGCGCACACAGATTGATTTATATATATATGCAATGTGCTTCTTCCAGCCTTGCTGTTGTGCACAACTCTCATTGCCCATGCAAACATCAATAAAAATTTCCCAGAAGCATGGCAACCGAACATGCCCCTCACCATTGTAGATATATTATATTTTTTATTATTATCTATACTATTGTAGACTATTTTGCAAGTTGGCAACAAGTATATAAATACAGTTTTTACATAAATAAATAAATAAATTGCTATGCGTCAACACTTGGTTTGCTTAATAGTAGTGTTATTCTTACTTATTAATCCAATTCATCAAATAAAGCTTATAATTATAAGCATGTTTGTAATTTATAAAAAAAAGATTAATCTTATTGCATTAGATGATAGAATAAAAAAGGATATAATAGAAAGGGTTTAAGAAAGTTTATAAATTATTAATATGTTAAATACAAGATTAATCTAAATGATGGTAGAATATCCTAGAATATCCTGGAATATCAAAGTATATTCTAAGTATATTCACTACCATCCCCTATAGGTTTGCTTAACCAAACCAAAAATAAGAAACAAATTCAACTTTCCAAACTTTTATCATCAAATTTAAAGTTAGATATTTTGATTTATTTTTATTTATATTTAAAAATTAAAATCTATCAAATTACTAGATTTATAGCATTTTTAATTCAAGTCTTTTTTTTACATATGTTTATCAGAATATAATTGTGTGGAAAACATTAAAAAAAAGTATTCATTTACTAATTCTACTAGTAGTACTACTGTATCTCCTCAATATTCAAGAAGAGCACTATTTTGCTATCTGTTATAGAGGTCAAAAATAAATATCCAACTTCTTACTGAAGCTCATATAGCACTTATTAATCGTTTTGAGAATCATCAAAGAACCCCTCAAACTTATGTTGAAAATACGATTATGCTTCACAATGTTAATTGACAGAATACATTCATTTACGCATTTAATGATTTATGGGATAACTGTCTTTAAAATGTCAACCCCGTTTCGACTGCATCCTGATGGACCAAGCAATCACGCATCCAGAGTGCTCAGTTCGAGTCAGCATTCACTCCAAACGGGGTTGGTATACTTAAGGTTAAAAAAAGAATATATATGAAATTTGAATTTGTATGCCACCTTTATTTAAGCCCTTATATATAGTTGCCAATTTTTCAGAATTTCTGGTTTTCTTAAGTAAACTTGTAGGGGTAATGAATATATCTAGAATATACTTGAATTTTCTGGGATATTCTACCATTTAACAGTTGTTATTAATTTATATTTAATCTTGAATTTATAATTTATAAACACTTCTATAAATTATAAATTTTCCTAAGCAGTTCCTAGTATATTCTAATTTATTCTACTATTTAATGGTTGATATATAAATAAATTATAAAATTCCATTTGATCAACTAGATTAAAAAGTTTCTATGCGTTGCATGTAGCAACACTTGGTTTGCTTAATATTATTACTTATTAATC